GAAGCAACGCTGTTCTTACTACAAAAATTCAAATATAAAATTGGAAGTCGGACGAAACAAGTGTGCGTGTTTTTAAGGAAAGGGGAGACGCATAGGACATTATATTACAACCATGGTTTATGCCCATCTTGATAATGACGTCAGTGTTTTTCGTATGCTGAAAGGAAAAGAAAGTTATACCTTTAGTAAAGACAGTTATGATTACATTGCGCATTTTTTTGTGATTGGGATGCTTATTGGGGGTTTAAGTTGCCGAAATTTTAGTTATTCATAATTGGACTAAGATGTTTCAATATGTGGTTTCTCAAGCTTTAATATAATTTGTTGAATTTGGTTTAATTTAAAAAAACGAGAAAACAACTAAGACAGCCCAAAGTTGTCAAATAATCGCAAATAGTGAAAATCGCAGCATGGTTTCAATAACGGATTAAAAATGAAGATAGGCTAAAATGAATGAAAACATTCAAGTTACTTTAAGAAATCCATGTAAAATGACATTAATTGTGAGTAAAGCCCATGGTGATATCAAAGTCGCCTACTTTTGACAACCGGCCAAGCTTCCAAATTCGCCGTAACCTTCAGACCAAAGATCCAAAATACAAAAAAAAAAGATTTCTTTTCTTTTTTTTAGATATTAAAGATTCCAAGAACATTTGTTTCCTTTAATATTTAGGCTCTGTCGTTTTTCCAAGCTTCACCTTGCCAGTTCGAAGGAACGGCAACCCGCTTCCACATCTGCTCATTGCAGCACGTTTTGTTGGTGTTGGGAAACCGGTGAAACATGAATGAGATTTAGCATCGCGTATAAGAGCGAACGGAAGCACGGTGTGTTTGCGTTACCGTTGCGTGTTCCACACGGCGTGTGCAAAATTGCGGTGTTGACACATGGCAACGACGGACATGATCAGCGCGATACATGTAACTCGAACGCAAATAGACAGCGTTTGCGTTTGCTTCTTTGCGCAACACTAAAAATCTATAGTAAGGTACAATCCCATATCGGTAGTAGCACTACTTTAGACCGTGAGGAATGTTGTTTGCATTCGGAAGTCCCTGTTCTCAAGCCATGATCGAGCGCACTTCTGCCGTGCCGGCTGAGAAGGAGAGTCTGGGGACCCTCACTGGAGAGCTTTCGTTTTCCGCCACAAGAGGGCGAGAAACGTGCTGGAGTCACGAATACAGTAGCTAAGACAGACATGCATATAACCTGGCCGAGTCGCTAGTGTTCGCTCTAGCTGAAGTAGTGAAGGTCATGGTTTAGGGACTTGTCTTAGCTACTTAACCTGTAAAAGACCATTTCAAGCGGACACCAATCAATCACGAATCACAAGAACCATTGAGTAGCGTATTATGGTAGGAAAAAGGAATTTCGATGTCTCTCAGTAGTTGGCCAGTGACGGATGATGCAGTGCATAGGATGCGATTTTGTGTTGGCCCGACGAGAAGACGGGCTTGGCTCAGGAAAGCTCATTCCCAATACTCTGTTTGCCTCTAAGTTCCATCGAGTTGTCTACACAAGTGTTGAATTTTGGTTAGGTAATACTGATAGTTTATAGTACCTTTGCAAGAGGATATAGATAGAAAGCTTCAGAAGATAGTAGAATAATATTAAATATATAAGAATCATTGTTATGCAATCTCCTTTGTGTTTATTGAAGGATATGTTTTCTATAATTGTTTTTATAAATTTGGACACGACCTTCAAAGATCACGACGAACTCCGATAGTTAGTTTTTATGCACGCCGATAGTCACAATTTGCCGCATCTTTAAAAAAATATCACAATGAATACAACTCCACATGTAGCTCATGAAGAAAACAAATGAAGTAACCTCCATTAAAGTTGAACTTACTAAACGAATTGTTTGCTCGCACATTACGGTTACGTAAATATCCGGTAACTACCTCGAACATCCATTCATAGTGTATCGTAGGTAACATCTAAAAGTCTCACCAAATATTTTGCTGTCGGTCATACTTTGATAAACGACTATATAAATGATATTTAATTATTATAAAATTACACAACGTTCTTATGTGCTACGAAGAAGTGTATCTCCTTTTAGTAACCAATCCTTGGCAGTTCAAATGTCGGTGACACAGATTTGAAAGCACGTATATTTTTTAGCGCAGCTCTTAGGCGCCAGTTTCCGGCTTGAGCGGCGTCGCCGTCGGCGTAACCGCGCGGTGCATTATAAATAAATTTCCCCGCTAAATATAGCGGAAAAATTTCCCCGCTAAATCTAGCGGAAAGATTTCCCCGCTAAATTTAGCAGAACAATTTCCCCGCTAAATCTAGCGGAAAAATATCCCCGCTAGATTTAACGAAAAAATTTCCCCGCTAGCGGAAAAAGTTTGCAGCTAAATCTAGCGGAAAAATTTCCCCGCTAAATCTAGCGGAAAAATGTCCCTGCCAAATCTAGCGGAAGAATTCCCCCGCTAAATCTAGTGGAAAAATTTCCCCGCAAAATTTTGCGGGGAAATTTTGGTCACGTGACCTGAGGGTCATATGACCCCTCTTCCGAGGTCACGTGATACACCCAAGTCACGTGACGCCCTCCCGAGGTCACGTGACCTCGAGGGAGGGGTCACGTGACTCCCCCTCACGTGGACCCCCCCCTCCCTCGAGGTCACGAGACCCCACCAAGATCACGTGACATCGGGGGGTGGTGGTCACGTGACCCTTTCCTCTGTGTCACGTGACCCCCTCCCTGACGTCACGTGACCCCTCCCCCGAGAACACGTGACCCTCAGTACCCTTCTCTCCTGCTTCTCAAGAGCTGCGCTCTAATTCGGCGTTACAGTGAGTTGTAAACGGCTTTCACTTTTTTATACTGAAAAGTATCCTTCCATTTCCTGCACCACTTGAGGATTTATTGCCAATATATAACTTTAACCAGACGTTGCGAACTTCCAAGAATGACGTATCTTGAACAGTCTTTGAGGAGGACAAATTTAACTTGACAGGTCTTCCCGTAGACCTTACTACTGCTGTGATAAGATGTCCACCGGCGGTTCGTATTTGCGGGCTATGACACGGCGTGATCACTTACCGAAGGCAGCGAGAAAGCTTCCCATTCAAAACGAAATAGTTTGCTCTGGTGTCGATGAGCGCCTTCGCGTTATGCCCGTCGATGGTAACGTCAACGTTAGTGGACACTTGCGCAGAAGCGTCATTCCAACGCGTGTCGCCGCACTTTTTTTTTTTAGAATATTCGCTTTCGTTTACGGCAACATCACATCCAGAAGTTTCTGCCCTAAGTTCTTCCAACGTGAAGGCCGAGGTCATAGGCTGTCCCGGCGAGAACGGCGGAAGGATGATGATGGGCGTCGGGGTGAGGGCAAACGGTATCCTTGACGGGAAGACAACTTAAGAGATGTCGAACGGCAGTCCTCGATGTCCCGAGAAATACCTACGCCGCTCTGAAAGAGTTGGTAAGGCCTAAAGACTTATCAAGTAGGCTGTCCTCCATCTAAACTTTGATAAAATACCGGATAAATAAAATATAATTATTATAAAGTTACACAATTGTTTTCTTATTTTAGAAAGAAGAGTATCTCCTTTTTAGTAACACTTTTTTTGGTTGTTCAGATATTGGGGACACTGATTTGAAAGCACGCATTGTTTTGCACTGAAATGTATTCTTTCATTTCCTGCATCCCTTACTTGAGGATTCATTACCAATATGCTACTTTAACCAGACATCGCGGACAGTGATTTGAAAACTATCTTTTATAGATTTTTTTTTTATTTATCTTTTCCACCTATTATTGGATGATTGATTGCGCATGATGCTGCCACCGTAAATCGGTGACACTGAATTAACTACACTCACTTTTTGAGGGGTCTACTTATATGGTGACAGTGCATGAACCTTGCTTGCCCGTGTTGATAATGGGCGCACCATAGCAAAGTCATGGGAGAGAGTGCCAGCAACAGAGTTTAGCTTTTGGTTGGACATCATAGCGCGTGCGACAAATGGCGCAGCGAAGCGCGGAGGCAGGGCTAGAGGTAAGCAGAGCGCTCACGCTTCCCTCTTTACACCCCATCCCCCTTCTCTCTCTTCTGCGTGGCAATAGGGGTTGTGTAGTAGGGAACAAACTAAGTATTAGTATAAAAAAAAATCTAATAGGCGTGGTACCTTTTGGGGATCAAATTCCATGCGCGGAGGCATTCCGGAACAAATAATGCAGTGCCCTCAAAGAAAAGGTCTATAGATGAAGAACAGTCATTTATGCAATTACAATTCATTCGGCATGGGCCTAGTAGAATGGACAATTGGGCGAGTTGGTATGGCCATGTTGCATATAATTCCAATAGAGCGCGATGCTCGTTAAGGTCTCCACTAAGTGCTATCGTCCTTTTGTGATATCCTTGTACGGTTTAAAGCACAAAATTGATTGCAATAAGTCCGGGGTTGGTGGCCGAGGTGGCTGGCGCACACGAGTGAAGAGTACTTAAAGCGAAAGATCGCGCTGCAGAACCCAGGGATTCCGGGTTCAATCCTCACCCATGCCCGCTTCACTCTGGATGAGCATCGTACCGTCGTGCGGTAGTGTATGACTACTGCATGATGCGCTCGAAGACGCCAGTCTAGCAGTCGTACTACGCTGGCTACACTTTCCATCAACGGTGTAAACCAGTGTCGCCGCACTTCAAAGGTAGACTGAGTTTACACTCTATAAACACAAACGGTTAATGTTTTTATTCCGGTAGTTTTGTGCTTTGGAACTTCAATTAATCGTTTAGAATGCAAAAAACGGGACGTGACAATATTATTTGAAGTGATGTCGAATCGAATAACGCTGCTGGGGCCATGGCTTTTAAAACTGACTGTTCGGGGCTTAGGGGGTTCCTCCTTAAACCGTTTAAGTTACACCTGAATCAGAGCCCCTGTCAGCAGCTTCATACTTTGGTTCGGGATAATAGTATGTGATTTTGATCGGCAATAGAAACAAAAAAAAACACAGGACAGTTTTTCTTTTTTTTCTTTTTTTGGTACGAAATGGGTATATTTTATTTATTGTTGATTCCTTTAGGTTTCAATGTCCGAGATTCTGAAAGGGAAAGTCAAAGAAAAGTAAGTTTAAGATGTATAAACAGTCAAGACTCAGTATGCGGTACAACTTAATAAAATAAAGATAAACAGTTAAAATCACAAAATATTTGATTTCGTAGAAGCACATCTCTGAAGGAAATTACATCGATATAGAAGTCATAATAAAGTAATTACAAAAAAAGTTCTAGGTTACCCTGATTATGACTAAGACTACATAAATACTTTTGCACTTACACTTCCTTCTGCGGAGGAGGAGGGAGTAGTCGTTGAAGTCGCCAAGACCGTAACCGTAGTTGAGACCGTAGCTGCCAAGACCGTGTCCGAAGCCGTAGTGGCCAGCACCGTAGCCGAGGGAGCCAATGCCGAAGCCGTAAACTGGAGAAGCGTGAGCGACGGTGGCGAGAGCTGGAGCAGCATGGACTGTGGACACAACTGGACTAGCGTGGAAGGTGGCGACGGCTGGGGCAGCAGCGTAAGTGGCGACGGCTGGAGCAGCCTGGTAGGTAGTGGAGACCCTGGTCACAGCTGGTGCGGCGTGCACAGTGGCGACAGCCGGGGCGGCGGCTACGACAGGAGCAGACTGGTAAACTCTAGTCACAGCTGGAGCAGCTTGGTAGGTTGTGGCAACCCTGGTGACTGCTGGAGCAGCCTGGTAGGTGGCAACAACTGGGGCAGCCTGCACAGTGGCGGCAGCTGGAGCAGCCTGGTAGCTGGTCACCTTGGTGACGGCTGGAGCAGCGGCGTAACTAGCGACAACTGGAGCGGCCTGCACCGTGGCGACAGCTGGGGCGGCCTGGTAGGTAGTCACCCTAGTGACCGCTGGAGCAGCCTGGTAGGCGGCAACAACCGGGGCGGCCTGCACAGTGGCGACAGCTGGAGCAGCCTGGTAGCTGGTCACCTTGGTGACGGCTGGAGCAGCGGCGTAAGTAGCGACAACTGGGGCGGCCTGTACAGTGGCGACAGTTGGAACAGTCTGGTAGCTGGTTACCCTGGTGACAGCTGGAGCAGCGGCGTAGGTGGCGACAGCTGGGGCGGCGACAGCGTAGCTGGCATGGCCCACGCCGTTCAGGACGGCGCCGTGTCCGACAATTCCAACGTCACCAAAGGCGGCACCGTGACTGAGGTCGCCGTGCAGGAAACCAGCGAAAGCGCTGGTGACCAGAGCCAAAGCGAGGCAGGTATGGAACTGCGCGAGATATTTATTATCATATGAAATTGTATCAATTGCATGCCAAAAATCACACGATTTTTGTGTTCGGGGGAAAAAGTCTTGGGAATGCACAACAACCATGAAGAGAAGATTTATATATTTGATGCTGGCCAGAAGTGAATCATATGTCCTAATCTAGCGTACGTCCAATGTTCTTTGTTTAAGAATTATACGCATTTAGGAACAATTAACGAAATACGTAAAAGGGCACACCCGGAGAAGTAATTCTAGCGGTGAGGTAAAGAACTGAATCCATGGTTCTCTCCCGAGTTTCCTGCTGCTTTGTTTAAAAACATATTCAAGTTTTTTTACGTCCGGATATATTCATCTCTTAATGCTTTGCACCAAAAGAACGCATCAACGGGTTGGATGTTTTGAGCTGGGAAACACAGTCTCAAACTCTCGAGAACACCTTCTTCTAGAAAGTGTGTGCTTCGGTGCATTTCCTATTCGTGAGCTTTTCAACGAAAATAAAACATATTACGAAATAATAAATAAGCTAATATTCATCTGACTATGATTTAAAATGTATTTTACAATCTACTGTGTTTGTTTTGGTTATGTGCGAAACTTAACAGTATATATATATATCTATACTTGATGCATTTTATCATTACTGTGTTTGACTTAACTCCACCTTTACGTTGCACTGTAGATATTAAAATATATTTTTAAAACTTAGTTGGAATGTGTTGCCTAAATATACATGAATTCGGTGTGTGTTTTTAATTGCAACAGAGCTATTTTATAAAGTCCGTGAAATGAACACGAATGCGTTATATGCAGGTGGGTTGTATACCCTGGGAGACCTAATCTAGGGGGCTAATTGTCATTATAAGTAGCATAATTAAAAAATAATAAATTAAATGTTTGATTAGTGAAAACAAACATACCGTGCTTATAGAAACTTCTATGCGCCAGTGAAGCTACTAAAGAAATCTATCTTAGACAGATCTTACGCTCGTGAGAATCCCAAGGTGCGCCAAATGCTCAAATGTAGAACAGACGAAAGGCTAGTCTTGCCTAATTGCGGATGATAAGATTTTCATTATCTTTTTCCCACCGCTAGCCTTGTGCGTGTTCCACGAGCGGAAACCTTAGCGTGCCCCGCGCATCCTACTTTCCACATATATTTGTAAATTTACTTAATTAGTAATTTTTGAGGACGTTCAGCAAATTACTAGGTCGAGCAATATGTTAATTTTCAGTAAAGAAAAACTGATTTCGAATTTTTTAGTTGATTTGCTATCTTTTTGTGATGATCAACCTCCTGTACTATGTCCCCCTGGCCGCATAGCTCTAGTGCCCAGACTGCATTAATGAACCTTTCACGAACTGTTTTGTATAAATCTGTTGGAATAAAAATGAAACACCCAGAATATACTCATATATATATATATATATATATATGAATTAATTTAAAATTTAGCATTGCACAATTTTTATAATTTTAGAGATAATATTGATATAAGATAGTTTCACCTTCTTTCTTAGTACAGCTTTGAGAGAGGTACTATCGCGGACAATATGAGCTGAAACAGCGCTCCGGCCTGTGCACGGTACTACCTGCGCCGCCGGTCGCATCGCTCCCTAAACACGGCGCACCCTGAGGCCGAGATAAATTATCAGTTGCGCTCACTGCGCTGCTGCGCTCTTCCGGCCGTCTGCTAGCCCAATGTTCACGTTTTCAGCTAACCTGCATTTCAGTGCATTTCAAGAAAGCGCCGAAGTGGAAAATGCGCTGTCACGCTCGTATCTCCTCGAGGAGCGCTGCCTGACGAAGCTGCCTTGGCCCCTAAAAGGAGCCGATCTGAATATCATCGAAAACATTTGGAGGCGCATCAAGGTAGCCATGCCACGGCGTCCCCTCCACCGCGCCACTGCCCACAAATCGTGGAAAGCAATCAGAGGTGAATGGGAGTGGCTTCGGGGCTGAGCCTGACTTCCTGGCCGCGCTCTATGATTTCTTACCAGACATGATGAGAGCCGTGGTCGCGGGTCAGGGAAGAATGACGTGGTATTAAATTATTTTGCAAGTTTTACTGCGCCTCAGGAACCCCTGAACTGGACTTCTGCCGATTCGAACAAAGCTTGATGCTACGTTTGCGACACACTGTTTGACGCCGTTAACCACGCATACTTTTGAGGGGTGCCTCCTTCATCCCGATCTTCTTGTATTGTGCAGTGGAACTTCCACGCCTACTATTAATCTTTTGTGTCTGACAATGTCCTCTTGTTTTGCTTTAAACAAACACGTGGGCCCAGTAATAATGAAATAATATTTTTGAACCTTTTCATACTAATCAAGGTTACAAAACCTTCTCAGTAACATGTATGCTTACCGTTTTTTTTAAAACATCTGTGATCAATGAAACAGAAAAAAGAAATACCTTGGTGCCGGACTAAATCCGGCATACAGATTTTGGCCTATGTTTTACGATGTCATACTTGGTGCATGCACCTATAATCAAACAAAAATAACCTGCAACGTCTTTTGATATGACTTTCAAAAACGATAATCGCAGTTGGAAAATTAAGACACTTCAATATTTTCTCTTCACCAGTCAGCGTTTTTTCTAAGGAATTTGCACGATAGAGTAAAGTAAATCAATACCAAAAGGGGAACGACAAGTGTAATCTTTTGTTCCCCCCGCCGCCCTACCACACATGCCCGCTGTCGCACCCGCCGTCTCGCTTGCAGACAGCCGGAAGAGCGGAGTGGCGCAGCGAGCGCAAGTGAGAACATATCTTGGACTCAGCGTGCGCCATGTGTGCGGAGTAAGGCGACGGGCGGCGCAGGTAGTGCCGTGCGCCGGCCGGAGCGCTGTTTCAGCTCATATTGTCCGCGATAGTTCATTAACGTATTTAGAGTACGACGGCTAGATACATAATCTACTGAAGGAGACTGCGCCTCGATGGAGAACAGCTAGTGGATAAAATATATTTTAAACTCTTAAATATTCACTTTATAGATGGCTTTTTTCGCGGTAGAGTTTATCTGCCTCGCACAATAAAAGGGTACTTACCGCAATCATTGTAGAATATTGTGGAGTTGCACCGACGCTAGATCGCAACTGTAAGGCAGAGCTGGTTAGGGGTTCATTTTATACTAAAATTATGTCGCAAGACGGGCCGGAAACAACGTCCGCGGCGACATCAGAAGCATCACGAGTGATATAACTGGCTGAAAAAGAAAACGAACTAGGGTAGTCAAGGTTTCCATTTTTTTTCACTTATCTTTTTCTTGAGGGAAACCTTTTACTTCCTTACCTACATTTGCACTCATATTGAATTCAAGATTACTGCGAGCATTGTGCCGTTATTAGCATTCGATCTAGATTTGACGCGCAAGTTTATTATTTTGTTCATTCTGGTAATACGAATCCGGTGCTACTCCTCTAATATTGAATACTGTTGCATATGATTTCACAGCGTCATTCAATATGGGTGCAGGTCCCTTTAATATTCATATCGACTCTCATCTTACGCAAGACGAAGTCGCCCATATATATAAACTTTTTTTCTGAAAGCGATTTTTTTTTTCTATCTGCGCTGCTCATTTCTCCTTGAAGGAGAAATGAGATTTAAATGACTTTAAAGTGTTAGGGTAAATGTAAAGTGAATAATAAAAATATATTTAGTTTAATCACTGATGCATTCCATATAAGATAAGTGAATTTTGTTTATTGCAAGAAAAACCATCTTCAAACTTACCGATTTAATCATTTATGTCAAGGAGTGATGCCGTCAAGGTTTTTGATGGAGTCAGTATACCACACACCATAATCGGCACTCCAACCATGAAACATTGGCATGATTGTGAATCAAGCGAGTAGAAACTTTAATCAAAACGACACACTCATAATAACAAATCGATAATATATGCACAACAATTGCCACACCTGCCGCTCCTCTATCAATTTTTTTTCGCTGTCTCTTTTCGTCCTTTGTCTCGAAGTTATACCAACATAGACATTGTTTACAACCAACATGTTTCTTGCAATTTGCTTCCAGCCATACTTAAGAGGTTTTTATACCTGAATTATTTAGATACAAGTATATCAGCACGAATTTATAATTTTTCGCAAAGGTATTCTTGAGTACATATACTGTAAGTATCTACCACCCAAACGCTCAAATGAACCTGCCATGAATGACAAAGGCACTTTTGGACACCATACAACGTGGTACAATGACGGTTCATTAACATGGATACTTTCGATCTCCTAAACCTCGTTCATAACGTGAGTTGTCCGTAATAGCCAGACACGAGTGAACACATTTACCCAGTTCGTCCCCGAAAATTCTGTCTATATAGCGGCGTATTCGTATTAAAGGGGTCAGTGTAAACGATGCATGACTGCTTGGTGTGAGAAATAATCTATCGAGAACTTGTACGGGATAAATAAAAGACGATTGGGGCACAAGTTCTTCTCCGGCTTATGTTTAAGCGAATATAAAGCTGAGAAGTGTGCAGCGTTTTCAGAAATGCAGTTTCTACTAAAAAGTATTTTATCGTGATTCTTATTTCATTTGTATCAGTATTTCATTTTGTTACAAGCAAATGTTTGCATCTCCACAAACATAATAAATTGTATGTAAATGTTCTCACGTGGCATTCCTAATTAATCTTATTATTTTATGGGGTATTGCGTTAAATGTTGTTTAATTTCTAATTAATACTCCTTTAATATATCACCGTTTTTTATACATTCTCCTAGATGCTTATCCGGCTAGATAAACATTAAATGGAATATACAAAATGCCCCATCTAATGTGCACTGATTGAGTATTATATTTTCACCAGGTTAACATCAAATTTCTCTGAGTAATTCAAAGCGCAGGGTATCTCAGTCGTTGTAGCATGTGTCATCGTCGTCGGCGTGCGCCAGAGGGTGTCACATATCTATCTACGCGTCCTTTTTAGCTGGTTTTGCAGCGCTCATTTTCCGCCAAAATTAGTAATTATTGGTTGGCATAAGCATAATATAATGTTGGTAAATATAGAATCCTCTCTCTCTCTCTCAAAATTTTGAATACTTGTTTCATTCCTTGATATTTACTACCTGTAAAACTTCAATGACGGCACTATCCATTTGTAATTATTTTAGGATCATTAAAATAGATTAATCATTGCAAACATGAATATCTTTTCTTGGGTTTATATAAATAAAAATAACATGCATATTAGTGACATTCATAAATTAAGAATGCAATATTATAATTAAAGCACACTTGGACAAGTCGCTGTATTATGTTTGTAACATAAGAAAAGTATTGAACACTTATTTTAGATTATTAACATAATTGTAAAGTTATTGCTTTAAACGAACTTTTCATGCGTCGCGCGGCTGCGATTTCACCCAAATCAGTATCTGAATAAAATTATCCTCACTTAATACTCTGAGCTCTGAAATCTCTCATAAATCTTGAGCAATTTTTGTACTCCTTAGTTTTGCAGTTGTTTTGCAGATACGCATTCAAAAAGCTCCTTGTTCTCTGTTTAGTGTAGAGGGATAGCCTTGTCAGGGGGTATCAGGCAGCATTTCAGTTTGTCGTAACTTATGTATTCTATGCTACAGAAAAAAGGGGAATATGGAAGCAATCGAAGATATATAAAATAAAACAAAACAAAAAATAAAAATATGACGATTATTCGACTATTTTTAAACGTTACAGACGTTATTCAACAACGTCGGTGAGCACGAGTACTGAGTTTATAAATCTAAATAAATTAAGCGTATTTTTGTAACAGTGCATAAACACACAGTGCAGAACTTACAAAGAGTCTCGCATGGTCGTTTCTGACAGGCCAAGAATACTAATTTAAAACGAGGTTTAGAAAATGGAGGCGTGGTATTTCGCCGTAATACTTCTGAAACAATATCTTTGTTGTTTAATGAATGTAAAAAATTAAGACCGGGTAGATATATTTAATTTTCATGACCCCTTTATGGGCTCTCTTTACTGCAAAATGCAATGCAGGAGCATTATACTTTGCAGTAAAATGAAAGGCTCATTAATAAGATCGCTGAGACAGACAGGAACCTGGCCTCTTCAGCGTTCGTTATGCTAAAGGCGGAAGAGTGAAAGTCCTTGTTTTGTGAGCTTGTTCTATTTACTTAACCGTCTAAAGTCTATCTTTCAGGTGGACTCTATTCAATTGCCTAGCTGTAGGATCATTCATTAGCTTTATATGGCATGACAAAAGAAAATTTTTATGTGAGAAGTAAAAACAGCTCAGAAATGCACACACGAGCAGGTGGAAGGCACAGAAAAAAAGCTTTGATTAACGACTGTCGTTTCACTTCAGAACAATATAGACGGACACAAGATAGGGGCAAAAAAAGCTACACAGGGCATTTCTCTATCACAGTCACAAAATTCATAAAACTAACAAAATTGAGAAAAATACCGCCAGAGTAATCCATGAGCTTTAATTAGTCCAGTAAGCTAAGCTGCTGTGCTAGTGGGTTCATCTCAGTTAAACATATAAAATAGCGGGAAAAAAGACAGCCATGCGAAGTAAACAGGACAAGCGCTAACTTTATCTTTAAAAAAAATGATGGAATCATGTGAAGTCTTAACGAAGTCAAGAACAAAAAAACCTGAAGCCTTCCGTACCTCCAAAAAGTTGCCCACAATCTGAAGAAAGTGGCAAACAAGTACGCTATGCAGGTAGTTTTCTCTGCCCCCGAAAGGTTGGTTGGGTTGTGTTCCCAAATATCTAATGAGAAATCAAAACGGTCATGTCAAAATAAACACGTGCCTCCGTACGTGAACTGCACAGTGGGTGTAGAGTATTGTCACGGGTGGTGACCAAAAGAAAACAGAAAAATGAACAAGAAGAAATAAACGTTTAATGTGGCGAACTTGTGCCAAATATAAAAGGGTACAAGAGAAAACAGCAGAGCGTCGCGGGCGTCGATGTCGGCGAAACCGCAGGATCGAGCGCAGAGGCGAGACTGACCCGACAAGGTCGCGAGCGGCGTCTTATCTAGAGTGAGTCACTATCTCGAAGATTCGGCGGAGAAGGTTCGGGCGTAGCGCGCTCGGGGCGAGAATGAACACGCACTTTCTAGAACAACACAAGCAAGGATAAACAATAGATGTTATGTCCGGAGCAAGAATAAACGAGAAAGTTCTAGAAGTCGGTGACCCTGCGTGCGGCATTATCCCCCCCTTTAAGAAGTGCATCGTCCCGATGCAACCCAAAACAAAACAAAGCAAATAAAAAGAACGGTAAACTAAAGAGTCATTTGGAATACGTAAGGTCCACTGTCCTATCGAGCGTAGTACGGCTTCATGCGCACGACGTGGACGACTTCTGGTCGTGGAGGGCGGCGTGATGAAGTCCTTGTTCCGTCAGGCATCACCTCGTAGTTCAGATCCCCGAGTCGACGAAGCACTTTGTAGGGTCCAAAGTAGCGCTTCAGGAGTTTCTCGCTGAGACCACGGCGGCGGATCGGTGTCCACACCCACACCCTGTCTCCGGGCTGGAAGTGGACGTCCCGGCGACGAAGGTTGTAGCGGCCAGTGCCGGAGTGTGGCGAGCTGACGGACTTCTTCTGCCCGTTAGGCAACCACCTGGGCGTCGTCACTTCCGTCGACAGTCGGTTCGTGGGGTAACATTGCGTCCAGCATTGTCGTCACTTTGCGACCATGAACTAGTTGAAAGGGTGTAACCCCGGAGGTCTCTTGCACGGCCGTATTGTAGGCAAAGGTGACGTACGGCAACACCTCGTCCCATGTCTTGTGCTCCACGTCGACGTACATGGAGATCATGTCGGCGATTGTCTTGTTGAGTCGCTCCGTCAGCCCGTTGGTCTGCGGGTGGTATGCGGTAGTACGACGGTGGCTGGTGTGACTGAGCCGGAGAATTTCTTGGGTCAGCTGTGCCATGAACGACGATCCGCGATCTGTAATCAGAACTTCGGGAGCGCCGTGCCGGAGGACAATGGAATCCAGGAAAAACTTGGCGACTTCAACCGCAGTCCCCGAAGGAAGGGCTTTCGTTTCTGCGTACCGCGTGAGATAATCTGTGGCGACGATTATCCAACCGTTTCCCAGGGTCGACGGCGGA